GCTAGTATATTTAATAAATTTTAAGATGTCGTACTTTTGATATAGGTTTTTATTCTTTTTAATGAAGAAAAGGTTCTCTCATTTGTGCTTGTACTAATTGGTATCGAGCCAAAATATACAGTAATTTTAATATATTTGAAAACTAATAAAATATATTTCAAAGTATACAATGCTTCCACTATATTTCTTGGAGGATTATCTACAAAAATAAATCTTCCATCATTTAAATTCTGAAATTAATTGGCCTTGAGATACCTTTATATCCTACAAATAGAATTTAGCTAAATTTTTAATTTTTCAATATCAAGATTTGATATATCCTCAGACCAGAGGGAGTTATGAGATATAGTATTTGTAAATTGGATAGAGCCATTTAATAAATCACAAATCGTTCATTGATTTGAGCCAAAATTAAATCTAAAAATGGAATAAAAACAGTTATTTTATAATGATCCTCAAATGAGTCCACGTTACTATTGGAAGGATTTGTTTGTCGGAAAGTCGAGGATTGTAAATCTCAAAATCATGTAATATTGCTTTCACTTCAACAATAACATAAATTTCAAGAAATCCCTGGTTATTTTATTTTTTAGTTTTCTAAGTTGTAATAAATTTAATATCCACGATTCTCATAACTTAGCCAAATCCATTTTTTTGAAAAATATTGCACTAAATTGCTGTGTAATAAATAAATTATTAATATATTCCAATGAAAAAAATCGGCAGTCATATTAAATCTAATAATGTATCAGCTTCAGGTGAAATTTGTTTGATGATTCTGAAAAATCTCAAAGCTCATACAAAATAGGCTCTTCTAGATCAAAAAAATTAACAGCCTGATGTCGAAGGCTTCATCTTGTTTGCAGCTTCTTTTTTCTTGTAGCACAATAAGCCTCAGATATAATTATATTCAGAAAATTTTGTCAATTTGGATAGAACATTTCATACACTCTAAAAATTTTGTAATAATAGTTATGAGTATAAATAGAATTTTTTTTTAGGTTGATAAAATTTTCTTATATCCATCAATGTTTAAGGTTTAAAATATGTAAGAAAATAAACCTTAAATTTTCCTGAGATAAAATATTAATATACAAAAAATAAATATTAAAATTTTTCTAATATTTAGAATTCAGGAAACCTATTTTTTTTTTCAAAATTTCTCGCTATGAGGCGGGGTATTTCTCCCCCTCTCCCACTCCCCTCCTGCTGGCTACGCTCCTGAATTCTCTTATATTTTTTCAAATGTTTATCTGATCAAAATTTTGAAGAAAATAATTTATAATATTACAAGAAGAACAATTATTTTTGCATAATTTTGTTTTTTATTATCTATGGGAAAAAAAGAAATAATAGGAAAATTTATATATAATATTGAGTTATTTTAAGTAACCTGTAAATTTTTTTTGAATAGCGAATAACGCGTTCCTTTTTTTCACAACAAGGTAACGAGTAATGGTAACACGTTCCATTTTTGAAACCCAACGAGTAATAGTAATTTGTTAAAATAAAGTTCAACTTAATTTTTTCTAATTTTTGTATTATGAGATAATTTAAAACAAAAATGTGACTAATTCAAAAAATCCAAAACTTATAAAAAACCAAAACGAACCAATATAAATTTGTTCAAAATAACTGATGAAACTAAAATTGTTTTTAAAATGTTATTATTATTAATTATAACCAGAATGAAACCGACCTTTATGCAATAATTAGAGTTGAAACCCGGATATCTAAATGTTAAGGGCTTCACCCTCCTCGCTTTTGAACTTTCTTCCCACTATAAGAAAATGCAAATTATATAAAAAGTGTATTTATTTTCTTTGAATTACCTTTCCATTAATTAATATTTTTCCACAAAATATAAATATTTTCTAATTAGTTTTCGGGTAAACCGAGGGGAGTGGGCAAATTGTTATTGCCCTTCATAGTTAATATTAATAAAGAAAAAACTAGCAGCTGTTAAATCAAGTCAAATAATGGCCACTATGAATTCAGCATTTAGCCAAGAATCTTGTTTATTATCACTAAGAATGATTCTGAAGCTGAACCAAAATTTTGATTTCAATTTTTGGATCATAGTAAGTTTATATAAAAAAGAGTTTTTAATGAGCTAATATGATGCAACAACAAAAAAATTTAGACAAATTATTCTTTGACTTGTCATATAATTATTCATACATTTATATTATAATTAAAGTTCCCTTATCGGCGAATAGCTTAAGGTAAATAAAAATATACATTTAAATCTTTGTCAAACAAACGAAAAATAAAAAGATAAAAAGCCGCCAGACTAGTAGACAACCTTAATATTTTCAATAATAAAATTATATTAAAGATTATTTACTTATATAAAATGAATGAATTTTTTTTGTATTTTCGATGCGACTCTTTGTGAATAAAAATTAAATTTTAAATGCAATAAAATATCCAGACGATAATAATAATAAAAAATATTTTATAAAAAATATGATCCTCGTGGTGAATAAGAATGTGAAAGTCTAGTCATACTGGAAAAAATAAATACTCGACTCGAAGTTTGTTTGAAATTAAAAAGTTTATTTAAAATTCACAAAAGTTGAACAAAAATATCAAGACATTAAGGCGCTTATTTGAATAATTTAAAATATTTATCCTAAATTTGTTAATAATTTATTTAAAATCAAACTTGCACAAATGGTCATTTGCTTGCCCGTATTTGTATAAGTTATTTCACCTTATTTAAATATTTTAAAAGGTATATAAAAACGAATATCGCGCTATCATTAAAATCTTTGTGTGAAAAAAAAAAATATAATAATATAATTTTATGACTTTTTTTTATAATTTACTTTGGTTTATAACATCTATAAAAAAATTTGTACTATACTCTGTGTGTGATAAATTCGTTATATGTAGTAAATTTAATCTAGTCTTTTTTTAAAAAAGACCGACTGACTGCTAAAAATTAATTACCCAATTCTTTTTTAGTTTTTGGATAAATTTTTTTATGTTAGGACAAATATTTGACATGTCGCAAAGTAGATATTTTATTTAACAAACATTGATAGATAACGAATAGATGAAAGAAATTTTTTGATATAATTTTTGTCTGCAATTTTTATAATCTTTTTAAGGAAAATTTATCTAATTAAAACAAAATACATATAAAAATCACTCATTGACAAAAAAATATAATAATTCACACTTTGTGATTGTCTTTATTAAATGTAAGGTTAAAGTTTAATTAGCAAATTTATTTAATTATTCAAAGTCCCCTTTTGAACAAAAAATCATTTTTATTACCAAAAGTTATATATTTTTTGTCATAATTTATATTTTAAAATTTTTTTTACAAATACTCTTTTTCTTTATTATTACATCACAAAGAAATGATCTTATGAAAAATTATATTTAATAAAATATTTTTCGTCTTTTTTTGTTAAACAAAATTAGGGAAAAATCGCTAACCATAAATAATAATGTCGCGGTTGTTCTAATCCCTAATAAAAAAAATATATCCATTTATAATAAAATTTAATTTCTTTTTTATTAAAAATTTTTTTTTAATTTTCCAAAATTTGAGTTGTATTTAGTACAAATAATAATAATTTTGGACTTTTGAACAAATGGGTAGTTTATTCGATCCTTCCTATGATAGTTTAGAAAAGGGCGCTTATGCCATTTCTTATAGAAATATTATTCAATCCTTCCTATCGATATACAACTATTTTGTGCATCTTAATCGTAACATATGTAAAATTCCTATTATCTATCTCGTATATTTCACAGTCCTTCACAACATTTCCAGTGTAACAGGTATACGTTTCATTTAAAATTAAGTTATAATCAGAGGCGAAAGAGCAACTTTAGGAGAATTTTTTTAATATGAATAGATCATTATAAATGTTAGAATGTGGGAAAGGATATTATATAACAAACAAAAATACCCCTTAACTCAAAATTATAACATTGATTGAAATTGGGCAAACATCATAAACGGGTTTTTATTTGGTTATGGCTAAACTATTTTTTTAGCTAATATATTGGCTTCAGGTTTTATTTAAAAAGAAGAAGGAAAAAATTAACTCGTGCATCAATACCTGGCAAATTTTGTTAGCAAGTGCCTATAGATTACCCAACCTATCGTTTTTAGTTTGTAAATTGGAATTAAGTGGGGATTAAATGGGCCTCAAAATTTATTTTCCTGTTAGGATTTGGATTTTTTTGTTGCTAATTTTAGATTTTGGATTTCCTTCTATTCCTGCTATTTTTTCAAACGTGTTCTAAAGTGAAATCCTGGGATGACGCACTGCAAATCTTTAAAATTTATATAAAAAATTTAATGTTTAAAATATTAATGGGTCAATGTTATCTATTTGTAAAATATTTCGATGGAGGCGCGACCCCGTTGCCCCATGCCTTTTTTAAGAAAATATTTTTAATTTGAAACAAAATTATAATTCATGTAAATCAATTTTAATTTAATTCACGATATTAAATAAAATAACTTTTAATGTTAAATGATTATTTTATGATTTTTAAAAAAAAAACTACATAAATTATCAATATATTTTTTTTTTAAATATAAATCAAAGTTCTGTTAATTTTTTTCTTTTTTTTGATTGTAAAAAGCGATTTCTTTGTTTGAACTTTGTTCTATGATAAGCTTAGTAATATAGTCCCAATAATATAATTTTTAAAAATTAATATAACATCTTCAAAGATGATAAACATGTTTCATCATTTAAATTTCATAATTATAATAATTAAACAGGTTACATCAGAACAAATGGGGGCAAATTGTTTGATTTTTTAAAAAAGAAGGTTAAACATTACTAGAGGTTGAGTTAATACATTTTATCATTTTTATAACGAAAACATCGGCATTGGGGCAAAGTCATGTTTGGTACAATTCTCTGAATATTTTTTTTGAACACTCCTAAATTTAAAACAAAAATGTTAGAGAGGCAATTGAACAAAATTAACACCTATTAACTATTAATGTTCCTAACAGAATAATGTATTATTTTATCCCAATAGCTGGCTTTTGCTGGAGTTATCAAGGCTATGATAACAAATGCAAGGACTATGTAATGGATGTTGTTAATAAAACTGACTGTTGTTCCTTAAATTCAGCCTCTGTCGCTTATTCTCACAAAAATATAAGTGCTAATGAGTTTTTTATGTATGAATATCTAAAGCAAGGAGCTCCTGATTGCCAGAGATGTCACAGTAAAAAAAATCTATAACTATATAAGTTCATTATTATCAATTCCATTATTAAATTAAATTGATCTCTAAATCCATTATAATATGATTTTTGATCAAGCTAATTTATATAAACAAAATCAATGAATAACTATTAACAGTGTGCCTGTATAAAGATAAGAAAGGTCTATCGATAATTATTCGATATTTGATACAAAATTTACGAATATGGATAACAAATTATTCGATATGAATAATAATTTTAAAAAATTACAAAAAATAATTTTTAAAAATTTGACGAATGTAAATATTTGAATTATTCGTTAATTTTCGGATTAATTACTACTATTTTAGTAATTATTAAATTAAAGCTACTCTAATCAAATATCCTTTTGGTACCTTTAACATTATTTTCCTTTGTTGTATTGAGTGACTTCTTGTTTAAAATTTCTTAAAACCTAACTTAAACAAATGTAAAGATGTGGAGTCAGAGAAGAGAAAATAATAGTGCTCTGTTACATCTTATAAGCTAACCATTTATTTTTGTAGACATTTACTACCAAAAATAGCATGTCCCGGGAGGACAAAAGAATTAGGAAAACCCTTATTTCTTTTTTTTATAAATTTATTTTGAATTATGATTAGTTATTCTTATTATGATTAGTTATTCTTATTATGATTAGTTATTCTTATTATCATCATATATTATGTATGAATGAATTTTGCGATAAAATGCAAAAAAAAATAATTTAATATAAAATTTATTAATTTATATTCGAATTTTTAGAGATCTTGTCAAGGTGGTATTTTCTAAACTATCATTATAATTAGTAATCATTTAGTAAGCATGGAAAAAAAAATTACATTTAGATTTTTGGCAAATTCCCATTTAAAACTCAATATATTTTTTAATATACAGCGAACTGTTCTACGGTCGTTTGTCCTGTAAGCGAAAAATGTGTTATGCGAGAAAAATATCCGGAATGTGTTTGTGATCCCCAGTGCGATAAAGAAATGATAGAATCTGGTATTGTGTGTGGAACAGATCTTAAAACTTATTCTTCTATATGCAAAATGAGGCACAGAAATTGTGGAAAAGGAGATAATGTGGAGGTGGATTATAAAGGAGTTTGTCAAAGTAAGTGAGATGTTGTATAATATCAATTAAGTAAATCCATCACATGAAATTATGATAAATTTTACAATTTGTTTAAATATCTATTTCAAACTTATGTTGAGTGATACTAGATTATGTCACCTTGATCTTTCAAATGGGCATCAACAGTTTGCAAAACTGGCCCGAATATAAAAAAATTTAATATTAGGCCGAAGAATGCCTTAACTCGATTCAATTTTTTTTACTTTAATTGTATAAAATAATTTAATTTGGTACAAGAATTAAGGACAGTATTGAAGATCAGTAATTTATGAGTTAATAATAATTATTTTATTTTAGGCTGCGTTTAAAAATTTAAGGAAGTCTAATGTTAAAGTTTTACAAATTTTAAAAATATTTAAGTTTTCATACTAAATTTTTTGCCTTATAAAAATTGTTAAAATTTAACCTTTAATTATTAAAAATTTATTATCAGACTCATGCGATAAAATGAAATGCCCGTTTAAAAAATATTGCATTTACGATCAAAATAAACTACCACATTGTATAAATTGCTCCAATTTGTGCTCGTCTTCTAAAACCACAAAATTTCATGAAATTTGCGGAACAGATAATATCACTTATCCAAATTTATGTAGCATTAAATACGCTAATTGTTTCTCGCATGATGATATAGAAATTAGTTATGAAGGACCATGTAGAAGTAAATACAAAATGAAATTCATGATTATTATTAAATTGTTCTAACTCCACTTTGATCGGTTTAAAGGAGTGATTAAAAAAATATTATACCATCTTAAAATTCTTTAATGTATACCCTATCTCAATTTCAACAGTGGAGTGGAGTTAAGGTCTTTTAAATATAAATCAAATTTTGCTGATTTTTCAATAAATTTTGAAAAATTCATATACTTTAGAATTATTTTTAGCCGAAACTTAAGTATATTTTCATTATTAAATTTCTATAAAAAATATCAATGTAAAGAGAATCAGAATGTGATAGCATAGTTGAATTGATTTTATATTAAATTTCGTTTAAATAAACTCTTATATGCAATATATTTCACTATGTCTAAGTTTATAAAATAGATGTAGGGATTTTAAGGATCAAGTTCGACAAGGATTAAAGATTATTTAAGTGGTAATAAAATAATGATTATCACAATTTATTATATATATATATATTTCAGTAAAAGTTAATTGTAAATAAAAACATTTGAATATTATTTCAACAAGAATATAAATTATATTAAATCAATTTAGTATAAACAAAAAAAAATTAATATTTTCGATTATGTCAACTTATAGTAACAAAGCAATATACAGAAACAGATATTTTATAACTATAATATATTAATAGTTTGAGGACTTAGGAGATATATCTTTGCCATACCCCAATTTCAATTTTCATACGTTAAAAAGGATACCAGTAACAGGAAACTCGTAGAAAAATTAAATACAGACGCTGCATAACAGTGTTATTCTGAAATCACTTTTCTCTTTACTTAGTAGAAATTTAGAATTGTGGTATTGAAAAAAATTTTCAATAAATTTCATGAAATAAAATATTTATTAAAATTTTACACTGCAATACCATCCTTTGCTCCGAAGAAACGCGTTTTTAACTCACTACATAACATTCTTACGTATGACATCAATTTTTTGAAAAATAATTCTTTATCAAAAATTCTTAGAAAAAAAAATTTCGTTTAAATCTTAACTTCTTTGTTTTCTATTTAAACAGTGTTATTATATTATATATTTGTCAAATGTTTAAAAATATATATTTAAAGATATGAATAAAAACGCCAAATTTGAACGCGTTCATTCTTATAAATAATATAAGTTAAAAATGATTACAAATTACATAAGATATGAGATTCAATACGTTTTAAATAGATAGGGCCTCATGATATGGGTAGGGAGAAATGGTAGCCATATAATACCACAAATTTTCTTAAAATTTTAATTATATATTTTTTCGCTATAAGAAAAACATTAAATAGAAGTAGTCGCATTATTACGATTTATGAAAATATTTAAGCTATTTCATTTTGGCAAAAAAAAATTAAAAACAAAAAAATAAAAAGCATATCGTATTCTATTTAAATTTAATTTTATAAATAAAAGCATTGATAATACATATATATATTTAACATTAAATAAATATCATAAATTAAATTTTACTTTTAATGTTATTAATTTATAAATTTTTTATATATTCTCTTCAATAAAGCCGTTTCGGAATGTGGAATGATCAAGTGCTCACATCAACATATGTGCGTAGAAGATCTAGAATCTACTAGTGGTTTTAAATGCATGGATTGCAAGGTGGGTTGCCCTAAAACTAATATTACGATTTGTGGTACTAACATGAAAACGTATTCAGACTGGTGTGACATGAGGGATGAATCTTGTAAGAATCGTGTCCGCATTAAAACATTACACCCAGGACCTTGTAAGAACAGACATATCTTTTGAAACAAAATCAAATTCAGAAACTTTAACAAGCTTGAACGTTTTATAAAGTTTGTTACCTAGAATCATAACACCTCTAATTATAAATGCAATACGTTTCCCAATTCTCTAATCCTTAAGTATCAATTATTTATTTAGACAAAAGATAATTATTTCGATTTTTTGTGCATTGCTAAGAGAGAAAAGTAAATAGCTCGGCCTAAGGTTTTTTTTAGATATTATTGACCATTATTAAATTAAATTTCGTAATGTATAATGTAAATAATCGTTTATATATTGATGTAATGTATTTATATACTGCTTGATTTACATGCAAATATTTATATAATATATTATGTAAACCTATTGTATTCATCGGCACAATTATATTTTTAAATTTATTTTTAATATATCTTATATTAATCTGAATTTCAATAAAATTTACAACTTAATTTTTAAAAAATCAGAGATTTATGCAAGAAAACAAGAACAAAGCAACTAAATACCAACGTATATTAAATTTATAACGATCCTAGGTGTTATAGTGCTTATAAATTGAGCGTTTGATTCAAATAAAATAAAATTTGCGATTTTTTAACATAATATTCGTCATAAGGATAGAATCACCCAAGCTGAACGATATTATTTATAACCTATTATTTGGATTCAACGCAGCGTCAATATTGAGCATTTTTGAACGAACTATTATGTTGACAAATGATAGAATGCAGTTTAACATCATATAGTCCTATAAGTTGGCCCGAAAGTCATAAACTCACATAGGTAAATAATAAAATTCTTCAAATCAATAATAAATATAAAAAAAATTAGCCAATAATTATATATTATATTAAAATATCAATTCACTAATATTTTTCAAAACTAAGGGCAAATTATCTTAAAGATTTCGAAAATTTCTATTGGGATGGTATTTTATAATCTCAATTTATATTTTAAACACTTTTGCAAGATTATATCATTATATATGTATAGGTTATATACACTTTAAATGAAAATTGTTAGTCTACTTGAAAGAATAGTAATTTAAATAACATCTTGAAAAACAAAAATATCAAGAATAACCAAAATCATGATTCTCTTTTCAATAAAAACGCGGAAATTTTAAAAATAAATTTAAACTAATTTCCCAGTTTCATTTTTATTTGTTATATAACTAAACTATTATATCCCTTATTATATTTTTTATACAATATCGTTTATATAATACAAGTAGATAAAGATAGTATGATTGTTTTCCAGGTTATAATTTCAATATAAAAGAAAATTAATGAATACAATAACATAACGATACAAAGTGTGATCATCTCCCTGTTAAACGCAAAATTAATATTTTATTTTTTAATAATAGCAGATAAAGGGACAACACTTGGGTAACCCATAGAAGCGTAAGCGGCTGGGTAAGCATTTCCACCAATATACATTGGATTTGTAGGAGCGGGTGTCTAAAAATATTTTATATAATAATAAATTAAATTATCCTTACAAATAAAAATTCAATTTTGCAGTACTCAGTTAAATATTATAATGAATCCAAATAAACAATTTCATTTTCCAGCATTAGACTTATCCTCTTCAATTTTATTCATTAAAAAATCACGTTAATATTAATTATGTAAACCCAGGTTCACGCACTTTTCAGAACTAGAGTCATCAAAGCTCTGAAAGTCAGCCAATGTTTTTTGGGTGTCCAAATTTTAGAACAATAATCGTATATTATATCACAAACACATACAAAGTCAAGTATTCATCTTTAAATTAGCTTTAAAAAATGGAACAGATCATTGGTTATTTATTTATTATTACATAAACGCCAGGGTGTTGATGATAAGCAGAGGCCCATTGTTGGTAGTAAGCAGAGTAGTAGTCACTAGTAGCGATAGCTGCGTTACTGACCGTATTTACGGCTGTTGAGGTGGAAGAAGATGAAGCTCTTGGAGAAGCGGTATTGCGGCTAGATTTTGAAGCTAAATTTGCAGAAGCTACAGAAGGGGGTAGTAAAGGAACGTTGCCCTTAACGTATGATCTTTGTAAATGTGGGGTAACGCAAAATTTATTATAGAGAAGAAAGGAAATAACATAATAGAGGAAGGAATAAAATTATATAATTTAAAGTTTAAAAAGAAATCTTAAAATGTTAGAACTGCAACCAAAAAATAATATTTATTTAATCTACAAAAACACTAGTCTTAAAAAATTTAATATTAGAAAAAAAACTTAAACGGTAAATGTAGTGTGTAATATTTATTTGCAAAAATTTTATAAAAATTGCGTAAATAATTTATTTAAAATCCGATCATAAATAAATTATATATTCCAACTCCACTTCGCTATTTATTTTTTTAATCATTAATTTTTGGAAAATAAAATTTAAATATATAATAAAACTTCTGGTAAGTAGACGAAAAATCTCCTCCCAATTGTATTTTCAGCAAGGATATAAAATCATCACGAGCTTTATTGATCCTAGATATTCAATAAAAAAAACTATTGATAAATGTTGACAATAAATAAAAAATAATTTATATTAAAGATCTGCAAATCCCAGCCCAAATGGGCCTGGGTCTATTTTTTAAAAATAATTTCCGTTCCAACTGTCAGGCTTAATATTTTAAAATATATACTTTAATTTTGTGAAATAATTGATATATTTTAAAATTCTTGCAAGAAACAAAGTGCTATTATTTTTATTTGAATTAAATCTAGACCGGGTTAGACAAATTTTTTAAAAGAAAAATTCGGACCAGGCATAAAAAATTACGATGAAGATCACTAATTTATATAACAATAAAAATGTGCTAGTGGCCAGGCCATGTAAAATAAGGGGTAGCTGGAAGAATTTATTAAACCAAATTGTAGTCCTGGAAAAGTCTATAAAATTTGTTAGCATATTTAAGTAATATATTGACTAATCATTAAATTCTTCACAGTATTTTTTATTATAATATATTCATCTAGACTAGTGTTGTTAAACGCGATTGTTAAAACAGCAAGCCTAATGTTATAGCCAAAAAATTTTATAAACCCTGAAGATTTTGCTAATAGATGGCAGAAAGGTTTGATCATCTATTAACGAAATCTTGGGGTTGTGTAATATTATTTTGGCTAAAATCTTAATTTAAAATTGGCGAAATCGAGCCGTTCAACAACACTAATCTAGACCCATTAATGCACATTATAACGATGCATTTAAATTAGATTAAATACGAGAATTAAATTATTAAGTGAGCTAGATAATTATTTTTTATAAATAATTTATTAAATTTATGTGAACTTGCCCGTTTTGATATATGGCCAATGATTTTAACATTTAAACAACCTTTTTATATATATATTTATAGAAGTATTGTTATTTATAAATTTTGATCAGAAGCACAACTAAAAATACTACACCTCCCATCCATAGACAAAGATCATAGCCGACCTCGAAAAATAGTATCTCAGTTAACAAGTTCAAACAGAGCAATCGTAGGGATGTGATGTCACAATAAAACTGAAATAAACCTAAGACCTCTATATCGTATTTCGTCACATAATGATGACAGAAATATTTAATGATTTATGGAGGGAGATTAATATAGTGCTTCTATATTAAAAATGGTTATCAAATAAAATTGTTTGATAATGGTTATCTTTCTACGCCAAAAAATTCTGAAATTGGTAAACCCTGAAGAATATTTATGCGATTTTTTTCAACTAAGCTATCCAGGGTTTGTAAAATATGTGTAGGGATGGGGCAGGTATGCTTCAGTCTGTACCATATATCCTATGTTTAGGACTGTATTAAGACAATTCCTGAGGTCTCAGAGTAATTGACATAAATAAATTATATATAGCTCAAATACAATATATAGGTTTGGATATATATACCCTTAATCTGTTTTATAAGAAGCCAAATATATTAAATAAAACCTAATAATAAAATTTGCGGGCTTTTTTTATTTCTAAGATACAACATTAATAAAGTATCAGGCAATTTAAAAATATCAGCCCATACCAATATTTTAAAATAATATTTGTTTATTTCAATTCAATATTTAAAAATCCATATATCCTAATAATTTCTATATGCCTAATTCTGAAGCAGTTTATAAAAATTTACATCTATAGATCTAGCTAACCTATAAACATCATGGTCAAGACTCTCCAAAAACTCGTATTTTCTTTGAGCAAAGGCAGTTTTAGAACTATCTGGTAAGGTGCTATTTAAGGTGCGATCAAATATGGCCGCTATTCTATCTATATTGAGTGGCTCCGTCTGGTATTCCATGTCTAGCAATTGTAAGTATAACTTTTCGTTGTGCTTTAACAAAAAGAACATAATTATATTTTTTAAATTGTTAATTTTACATAATTAAACTTTTGTTTTGATTTAAAACTTTCCATTTAGACTAAATAGGGATCAAATCCCCATACGATATGTTTAAATGTATGCTCACTAAAATTTTTATGTTTTTTCACAAATTTATTCATTTTGTCACTCAATAATGTGTTAGGTTACCAGTGTCATATCTGATTTTACGGTATTTAATTAGCGATCATATAAGCAGGATACTATAAAATATAAGTTTCAAATTAGTGATCTGCATAGGGCCTAATTTTTCAAGCCTGGCCCAGCCCGAAATTTTTTAAAAGTTTTGCCGGCCCAGTCCGAATTTATTTAAATATAGAAATTCATTTTTATAATTACTCAAAATAAAAGATATAAGTTATATGGCGTCTTGTTTTTATAAATATAATCAAATATTTTTATTTTACATAAATAATTCAACATAAAATTGATAAATTTAGATATTTTTAGAAAGATTTTGAAAACCCAACCCAGCCCAAATTTTTTTTAAAAAATAGGCCCGACCCGGGCCTACTTTGACAGATCTCTAATTCAAATATACCTTCAAAATAAAATTCATAATAATATATAAAATATACCGGATCATTAATAATGGCGTCTTCTAGCAATTTCAAAGCTTGAGGCTTATCATTCTTTACCTATCGCAATACGTTTACAAAATTAATATCTATATTATTTTATTTTGTTTTGCGAAAAATTGAAAACATACCAAATTTTTAACTTTTTACTTCTTAAAATTACAGAGCATTTTATTTAACATTTGGTAGCTTTCATTGAATTAGAGAGATAAGTATGGACCCATATTTTAAACAGGTATATTTAAGTCATTATATTTAAAAAATCTATTTGAAAACATTCATCTATCTAATATAATTATTTTAAAATTTAATCCATTAAACAATTTTATGTTAGTCAAGAAAATTTAAAAAATCATTTAAAATTTTAAAAAATATTTTATTATATTAAAAAATAATTGACAATCTTTATTTTAATCATTAATAACAAATTAAAACGATTTTTAGCCAAAAATACCTCTTTATGAAATTATAAAAATTTTAAATTCTTAGGGCTGATCGAAAATCTTTTAGCAAAAGTAACCAAAATAAATTTGACATAAATATTGCTTAATCAAAATTATTAAACTACTGAAAAATCCCGACCCATATCTATATGAACCCCACGAAGGTTCGTAAAATAAGAACCAATTTTTTTATAAAAATTAATGTAACCCGATGAATGTAACGTGCATATTGTATAACGAAATAGCTGTAATAGCAAAGATTGCTTTCATATTTTGTGAGGTTTTCTCTGTAAAGCCTTTCTACGAGATCCTCCATATCACCTCTCCTTCTGTATAAATTAATTCTTCTCATAGTTAGCTGGACAAGATCCGGAACATTTTTATCTAGCAGATTAAGGATAAAGGAAGCACAATGAAAGTTACCTGTGTGAATTGGGAATTAAACAACGTAATTTATATAATTTATTTGTATGAATGTATTCATAAAGGAAATGTTATAACAAAAGAATATAATCACTAAATCGAATTAGGAATGGTAAGTAAATATAGAGACAGGTAACTATTAATCATTATTAAAATGGTGAATAATTAAAATAAATAAATTAAAGTCAAACCCTATTTAATTATTTCTAGTGACTAAACGTAAAAATATTTTATATGTAATAGTATTTAAAAATAAATACCGTATTTTTCTTCGACAGCAGCCCAGGCCAAGAAAATATTCGGTTTAGTCGGCAAGTGTATAAAGCAGGCTCTTTGGAAAACTCTTCTCATAGCATTTAGATCCAAGGTTTCCATATATTTGGCGTACTAATTTTTTTAAATTAATAATCAGTGTTATGTTATTAATAACGAATTAAATATTATTTAAAGAAATAAATGATATAATTTAAGTGGCATCTCTAAAAATAATAAATAAATACAATAAAAATATTATGTTGTCCCTAAAATTTATTAATATTTTTCGTGGGCTTACATAAAACACAGTCCAGATCTTTAAAAAGTCTGGAATGACATATTTTACTCTGAATAAAATAAAAGAAGACCATAAAAATATATCATAAATTTATATCTTTTCCTTTTCATTTGTTTCTAAAATTATCATTATGTTATATTTGCATATGTAATGTTATCGCTTTCATTTCTATATAATTCTTCTAGAGGTAACATGCTCAACATCCATGTTGCAATTTATAAAATTGGGAAAACAAATCAATTATGTGTTGATTTTCTATTATTAATTTTTTTATTATAATTATGCAAACTTTAAATTATAAAATAAAGTATGAAATTTAAAAAAGAAAACAAGCATTTTGAAATTTTAAATACTCAATAATGAATTTCTATAATGGCTCAAAAAGCTAAATTTCAAAATGCCTCAAAATACATGCGCCAATATTTTCAAAAAGGATTTTGTACATTTCTCTACATTCTCCATAATATATCAATGGTGGAAATAACCTAGACAAAACTACAACCAAAATTCAATTTATTAAACTTGTGATGTTTTAAAGAAAAATGGTATTTTTTTGCTAAAGGAATGAGATAATTAAAATTTAAGTAATAAAAAAACTACACTTCATTATTTGTGATAATGCAACAAATCGCCTTGACCATGAGAAACGGAATATTTCAAAGCGTTTCTTAGTTCGCCCATAATTTAGTTATTTGTTTTTTTCGTTATTTTGTAATTAAATTTAAAGTTATAATAGTGAAATTTAATATTATATTTTGAATTACATTTTGTTTATAATAAATTTAATCCAATAAAACCATCTGATAATATTTGCTTCTAAATGAAAATAAAATTAATAAGACAAATAGTAGTCAAAGATATTATAGAAAAATATTATCCTGAAATTGGTAATATAGTTATGAATCTGAATTTTCCTTTACAAAATTTAAGAAGTATTTTAACTTAAAAAAATTTATGACAATGATAATATACTTGCTGCCATTATTCATCCAAGTTTTAGGCTGAACTAGCCATATATTACTCTTCCTAGGTTTATATATCAACTAAATAGATGTATCGAATGATTAAATAATATTACCAAAAAGAATAGAGGTTAAAACCACAAAAAAATTACTTCTATTGATGCTTTCTTTGAGAAGAATGATACCGAAAGAAAATCCAATATATGATATTTATGCATCAAAAAATAATACAATTAACATATTCGATGACTTCCCCTATTTTATAAATATATTTATTAAATTAAAAGCACCACTACCCTCAAATTCATCGGTTATTTAGCCAAATTAAACTTATATTTAGTGATTACCATTCAGGACTTGAGAGGTGAAAATATAATTTGTTATTAAAATGTAATAATAATAAATGAAACATTTGTTTTTTTCTTATTATACACATGTCACTTATCATAATAAATTGATATATTTTGTCTAATGTTTCACTTCCAATTTTTTTACAAAATGAATATCTTCATAAAGTAGCAAAAGCAAATAAAATAACTATTGAAGGGACTATTTCAAAACTTAACGTTAGCATTACATACTACTTGCGAAAGAGGGTAAAACTTTTATATATATTCAAGAATTTATTGTCTCTAGATATATTCAAGAATTTATTGTCTCTAGTTATAACAAATATTTTTTTAAAAATTTTAAATATGAATAAAATGTTTTGATATTCGTTATTTTTGCCTTCATGTTTCATAAAAAATGGGAAAATTATGAAACATATCCTGTTAGAAAAATAAAAATTTGACCTACTTTTAGCCAAAATTCCTCATAAAGAGCACATGTAACTAAGCATCGCTCAAACAATGATTTAACACGGGTGTTTTTAGCTAATCCAGTCTTTTCACCTTTATCAAGATCAACGGTTATGTTCATCTCATAATCCAAATACTGGTTCCAGTTTTTGAGCTGAAATCTTTCAAGAGGTTTGATGTGAAAGTATGGTCTTTTTATCTAGTTTTATGTGGGTGTAAATAAAATTAAGATTTATATTTTATGAATTGATGTTTACATGTAGATCTAGTATAAATTTTGGCCAAAACTTAACAATTTTTTATCTTTTGTATATAACAAATTTTGTATTAAAAATCTATTTCTCATGACATAATTATTAGAACAAAGTATAAGTTTTGTGTTATAATAAATCTGGGTTCAATTATAGGCTTGTTTTTATTATACTTTTAGCACATTGAAAAAAGTCTATTTTAAGTGAGGTATTAATTGATTCCAGTGATATATTTTCAATGCTGCAGACTTTATATAAAAATTAAAATTTATAATCCAATCATTTACATTATCTTCATACGTTTTCCTTTTTTTCACTTCCATTTCTGTTTCGGCAACAATTTCTTGTCTAGTTTCAATAATTTTATCCCTGATAGCAATAATTTGATCATCGGTGAGTTCCTTTTTAATGATATTTTTTTTATTTTAAAAAAATATAATGGAATATTTTACAATAAATTTAATACAATTTAATGTAATGATAACATTTGGAAAAAATAAGATATTAATAGATAGAATTGGAGGCATAATTGATATTGGAATTTTAACCAGAGATTCACTGATGTCAAGTATAAAGCTAATAAACTAATTATTCAACCCTCTAAAGGTTAGTTGAATAACTTTTTGATCCAATATTGCAAAGTGTATTAAATTATATAATCATTTTATTTTTTTAAAAAAATGATATATTTTTTTTCCTTAAAATTTAAATTTTACAATATTCTATATTTTTTAGTTCAGCCCTTTCTAAAAAAGATTACCCATAATTCAAAAGTAAAATCTCAAATTCATAATTTTTAATCCATTAAGTTTATTTTTCCAATAGAAATCATAAAAAATCCGCACAAAAAAAGCATCCTAAATAAGAAATTTGTATGGCTGCATAACGCTGACTTTTATAATATTATATTATTGGAAAAATCGAAATGCGATATAAAATTTCAAAAATTATTGATATATTTTTGATATAATATTGAAATTTTTTATATTTTTATATATCTTGTCTGACTATGACAAAATATACATCGTGGTATCTTCTCATCAGTAATCATTGTTAAATAAATCCATAAGATAGTTGTTTTACTTAGTAAGGAAAATTGACTGTGGGGATACACCTCTATTTGCTAAGGAAATTTTAATTGTTGTGATTTCCCGCTAAAATAGAAGTAATAATATTATCAGGATTGACTCGATTCCAAAACCTAAACGAATTTACCACTGCTACATCAATAAAATTGCTAGAATAGGCTATCACCATTTTTTTACTATTTATATTTATTCTATATGTTGACAATATGTTATCGTATAGATCAACACCACCCTATGGGAATTATATGAATTTATAAGATTAGGTTGTGCAATTTTTATTTTTGAGAAAATTTAAGAGAATTTTGAAACGGCTAAGATTTCAAGACTGAACGATCATTCCATCGAATGACAAATATTTCATTTGTATTTTCAAGTCGGCAATCGTAATAGCCCGTTTCCATTTCTGCTATAACTTTAATCGTTTCAATGAAAGAAATTTAAAGGTCAATTTTCTCTTTAGCCCCAGTTGCGAAAAATCCAAGGTGTTTCAAATGTTATAAAAGCTTTAAAGGTATAAAAAAATTATCGAAATAAATATGCAAATTGGGAACTTGGACTATCTTGAGTAGATTTGTAACGACAGCACCTTTTAACTAGGGCTGTGTCGATATTAAATATTGGATCGGATCGGCACCGATATTTAACGTTCCCCAAAAATATCACATAGGGTCGATATTTGTAAAAATCCGATCCGATCTTTTTACTTTAATTTTCTTTTGTTATTTTATGTTATGTATATATTTTACATAATTATAATATTATTTTTTTATCTATTATAATATAATTTTTTTTTATTATAGTCTTAATTATAGAAATAAAAAAATTAAATTAAATGCGTAATTCAATTTTTTGCATAAAAAATATTGATATCTAACGAAAACATAAATATAAATAGGCCCTTTACTTTCAACCCTTCCCTCACAAAAATATAACTTATCAATCAGAGCGCTATCTTTTTTGGTAGCTATAGCTAATAGCCGCTACTTTTTTTAAAATTATTTAATTTTTTAGCGCGCTACTTTTTTTTATTTTAAAAAATATAATGAATGTAAGTATAAACATGAAAATTTAAATATAATATCATAATTAATTATAATTTTTATAATTTATTATTTAATTTTGAAATTTAAATATATTTTCAATCTGTGTTAATAATCTAAAATGGCATCGTCCATGGATATCCAAATCCTTGAAAGTTATTCAGACATGGAAGATTCAATGGAAGATAATGTACTTAATAGCTCTAATAACGTTTTTCCATTCCCTAAATTTGGAAAATTTTTTAAAATAAATATTAAAACAAAATCTGGATTCAAATTCCTGTGCTTAAAATGTAAAAAAAATATATCATCAAATCAATCGAGTAGCTATAACCTGAAGAAACACCTAAAGGTAAATTGTTATTTTTACATTATAATATTATTTATTTTATTAGACTGTTCACGCCAATTGCTATAAGGAAATAGAGAAACATATAAAAAATTTTGGTATAGGAGAATCTTCATTAAAAATGACAAATACTATCCAAACCAAATTAACTGATAATAAACATGCCAATATTTCACAAAAATTGGCTGATAAAGTTATTTTTGATTTTATTATTGACACAGTTCAGCCAGTGTCTTTGGTTGATAATCCATCATTTACTATAATGATTAAAACTTTATCCCCTGGCACAACAGTTTTATGTCGCCAGACACTTATGAATAAAATAGCCGACAACTTCAAAGTGATGAAAGATGCCCTAATAGTAGAGTTATCAGATATATCTTATGTATGTACCACGGCAGATAGTTGGACACATAACAGAAGGTAAAAACTTATTTATATTCTGATTAAATATTTTCAGAGCTTATTTGGGAATCACAGGCCATTGGTTAGATCCTATAACTTTAAAAAGAAGATCTGTAGCCTTAGCCCTTAAAAGGATTATAGGATGCCAGACATATGACGTACTTGCAAATAAAATTATTAACATCCACAAGTCTTTTAGGATTCACAATAAAGTTTGCAAGATGGTTACTGATAATGGGTCTAATTACCTGAAGGCATTTAGGTTATATCACAAATTTATTTATAATATTTATTTTAAGTTATGATTTTTATCAGAATGGAAGGGTTATTATTTAATCTATAAAATATTTAGTATTTTAATATTTCACATTATTTATAGAATTTTTATTAACTAAATACACACATATTTTAGTAATATTATGATTATCATAATTTATATCAAATTATAAATAAAATTAGTGAAATTAACTAATAAAATATAAAAGAGAGGTGGATTATTTCATTAATTTTTATTGTACAGTGTCATTGAGCTAATCTAACATTTAATAAGATATGGTTATTGACAGAGTTGGGCAGGTCCTCCAGAAAAAGAATCTAGATACAGATTCTTTTTAAAAAAATGAATCTTAGATACAGATAGTATTTTTTAAAAATAATCAAAAAGATACAAGATAAAAGATTATTGTATCTTTTACTAAATTAGAGTAATTTAAATACAAGATACTTTTAAATTATCATTACCAATTAAATTAGAATAGTTTATAAAATACAAAGTTTATTATTTATTTGTGAAGAACATAGCATACACATATAAGAATGAATATTTGCAATAATTAATAAATTATTTATTGATGAATTAATCATAATAATCAGGGATTAATAATATTAATTTTTGCCCATTAATAGCTTAAACAGGGAAGGGAGAGTAGTATATTTAATGGGAGTTAAAAATGTGCAAATAAGAAAAAAAATTAAATCAAATGATTTATTAGAATTTGCAGATTATTTTCTGTGTTGTTTTAAATATAGCTTATATTAGTATGGATAAATGGCATCTCTAAAAAATTATACTAATTTTATTTTATTCATTATCTTTAATAAGTATTTATCATTACTTGTTTGTGATATTTATGTATTTTTTAATTAGTTTTATTTTCTAATATGACTTATTAATTCTTGCATTTGTAATATCATATATAGTATTATAAATATCATTTAAATCTTTTTTCATATTTTTTTTATATATTTCTTGCAAAATTATTAATTATATATAAAAAATATGAAAATAATGTACAACATTATATTATTTAATTGTTAATTACATAGCAATTTTCTTTAATGCATTTTTAATTAAATTCCGTAAATAAATACTGTAATGTAATTTTATTTATATCATAAATAAATAAAAGTAACTAATAAAGTTAAATTCTACCTTATTATAATTTTTTAAAATTATCTAATATTATATATCAATTGTAGCTTAAATATTTCCTTTAATAAGAACTTGCTAAAATAATTAAATATAAAATATATTACACAGTACAGGGAATTCATTCAATATATTCATTTGATAAAATATTTTTGCTTAGTTACATTATAATTCCTGAGGTTCAAAATTTAGAATACTAAGAAATGATTTTTCCACTCCATTTTTGATAAATATTACTAGACATTTATTTCTATTAAAATTGGATGAATAATTTAATTTGTCCTATTTAATACTCCATTTTTGATAAATATTACTAGACATTTATTTCTATTAAAATTGGATGAATAATTTAATTTGTCCTATTTAATATGAATATAGAATATTTGGTGAGGATAATGCTGAAGATGAGATACAGAATGATAGTCAACATGTATTGGAAGAGGAGGAAATAGGTGTTGATGCCAATGATATTAATGAGATCTTAGAAGAAGGTTTAAATTATTTTATAATACATGTTAATCTAATCAATATTCTATAGGATCTTCAACTAACTCCACAATGTTACCCAGCCATCATAGATGCTCCTGTCATAATTTAAATTTGATAGCAACAGTAGATGCTGAAGGAGCTTTAAATGATGAAGATTTTAAAAGGGTGTCAAGATCGACATTTTATAAATGTCAAACTTTATGGAATAGGCAGAACAAATCTCCTAAAAGTTCTGACATGTTTAAAAAAAAATTAGGGAGGTATTTATTAACCCCTAATCGTACAATATGGAATTCTGTATACCAAATAAAACTAATCGCTTTTTTTCTGGAGGAAAGAAGATTAGAGATTAATTATCTCTGTGATCTTGTTGAAATTGAATATATTAACGATGAAGAGCATACTTTTATAAAAGAGTATACAGAGGTAATTCTAATTAATAATGATTCATTTCCATATCATTTTAATTTTTTAGGTTATGCAATATGTTGCTGTTTCCCTTGAAATTTTGGAAGGTGAGGATAATATGGAGATGGGGTATTATGTTCCCACTTTAAGTATCCTAAATACCAAATTAAAGAGATTGAATAATCTAATCTTA